AATTCAAGGTGATTAAATTTGACCGTTTAAATTTCGTTTTATTTAACTTTTCCTGAAATTTGGGGACTTGCCAACGTAATGTTGAACTGATTTTGACCTTACTGAGATAATGTGGAGGCAAATCTCGGGGAAATCGGCTTATTTCGCGGGAAAATTTAATGACCTTTGAATTGACGTGTTTTGGGGTCCGAACCCCCCCTTAAAATTAGTTCGAAGCGATTTCTGCAATTTTAACTTTTAAGCGAACAAAATTTGTTAAATTTTTCCGTTTTATTTTTTTCTTTACGATAATTTGAACCGGAGTTATGAGTTTTTGAAAATAGGTGAAATTTGACGTTTGACCTATCATAACTCGGTCAAAAATTAAGATATTGATCTGCGATTTGCGCCAAAATTCTTAGTTTTTTATGTTCTTTCGAATGAGGTATCACAAGATAGGGGTTGCTGTTTGGAAAAGTTGGGGGGCCCCCGTCCCTCCCTGAGGGGGGGGCCATAATATTGACTCCCCCAGAAGATAGTCCCCTTTGAGATAGGAACATTCCCAAAGTTTCATTTCCCTAGCTTAATTCGTTCAAAAGTTAGCAGGGGTGGGACGGACTTTTGTTACACCCTGTATACAGATAAACTGGACTCCAATTTACGCATAATGATGACTGAATATTTTTTTACTATAAACAGCCAAAGTCTTCAAAAAAAATCTGTATCCATCCTCAGGGTATAGTTCATCATAACTGAACAGGGAAAAACACATGAAAACCTGTTCGGCTCATAGACAAGGACCATCCAAGCGACAGAAAGACAGGGATATACCTACTAAACATAAACATAACAAAAATAGGCAAGCACTAACAGAACGACGGAGCCACTATTAATGAAAATTATCGAGACCAACAAAATGTGCTTTGGAATGTGCCTATTCAGTTTGAGAAAATATCATTACAATTTTAAAAAATTCACAGTCCCACCAAATTTATAAACTCGCCGTTTCATTTTTTTCTTTCATCAATGCCTTGGAAGTCCTGAGATCAAATTCATGATCCTTATCCTTCATATATTGTTTAAAGGCGATTACCTCTTATTTATGGAATTTATGCCCGTCAAGTCTTTTATGCAAATATTTCGAAGACGGCCCTCAATAAACACCTCAGTAATCTTTATAGCGATTTTTATCCACAACTACCGACAATTTTTATTTTGAACTTTATGATATGTATGAGCAAAAGTACGTCGCTGGCAGTCGGTTCTAAGTGTACCTACTCAGTTTTTTACTGCGTATCGGCAATCTTCAGATTCATTGCACAAATTTTCTAATTGTACTGACGAGAAACCCAGCTAAGAAGAGTTCGGCACACACGAAGAAATTGGGTCTGCTAACAATCACACAACACGACACAAACACTACACGACCTCACACTACTGTCCTCTTCCAACACAACACGATTTGTAAAAAACCACACCTCAACATATTATCCTTTTTGAAACAGACAGAAATCTACTTTTACTAGGTAGCGCCACTTTGCGGTCAGATGATTACCTAAGCCCTGAAATTTTGGAAAGGCAAATATGACACAAGAAAACATCGCGCTAGAGAGTGGTCCAAATCCAATTTGGAGGAAATTTTATTAATTTGAAATCCCCTTCCTGCCACCTTTTACCGGGACTGTAAGAGGGTATAATTTCTATGGTAGCTTTTTCAAAGACTATTAATCCTGACAGGAGAACAATTACATGGTTCCAAAGGTAAAATCTTCAACATTGCAAATTACTATCGCTATATGATCACAAACAATGAACGATTTACTGTCATCTCTTTTCACTCTGTTAAGTAATCTCCACAGTGAATTATAAAAAAATTTTGTATGCTATGCATGCCGACTACATTTTAAAGAAATAAAATGAATCTCTAAAGACATATATCAAAATGGAGGGGAATATTTCATAAAACAGTTCATACAGCACAAAACACGGTATTGCAAAACGGCGAAATCACACACTGAATGATCATTTCCCTTGAGAATAAATATATTGTAGGTATAAGGGGCTTATTATTATGATTCAAGAACCTGTGTCACACTATCAAAATACTCCATCAAAATGTCGAGGTCAAGTGCTGTGATTTTTCCAAGTCATCGAATAAGCCAATCACAACACCTGACCTCGACATTTTGATGGAGTATATTGATAGTGTGACACAGGCGAATGAACAATATTGTTGAAAATTAAATGTTCTTTCAAGGATGAATAATTATCAAAGAATCTTTATTGGAGCAGCAATGATGTAAATGTTAGAGGGAAATCAAGAAGCCTGATTCTGCAACAAATTGTAAGTGGTGCCATCGGATTGGAGCGTTACTAATGTTGTTTGGTGTTCAGCCTGTAAACTGTAGGAGACAACTGTAATCTTGTTGATAAATGATAACCCTGTGAGTGGCTAGGTATTCAAATTATCCAACTTTCGAGGTGATACACCTGACTAGATTGGGATATATTGATCGCTTATCTGGTTCAAATAAGTTACAGAATCAGGTTAAAGTTTCTCTTTTAAGTATGACAAAGTTTAGAAACATTTCCTTTTTCCTCACCCCACTCTCACACATCTTCACGCAAACAATGAGAAATTAATTTAAAGAAATATACTGACTTGCATCCGAGTACATAATGGCTGGGTGTTGAGATACATCAGCAAAGAATACATGCAGAAAATGCAGAAATATTGGTGAATAAAATTGCTGAGAATGAGAGCGCAGACAAAAGACACAAAATGAATTAAAAATAATAAAATGAACATGAAAGTAATGATCAGCTTAAAGACTTGAAAAAATAAATAAATAAATAAGCAATAAGATGCATTTTTTTAATAAAACTTTCAAGAAGCTGAGGGAAGATTTTACTTCCAAATAAAATTCTCCTGGAGACATGCAAAAGATGAAATATCTACTGATAATTTGGACGTATTTATGGTAAATGGAAATATGTGCAAGTGGAAAGATGGGGTGTGCTCGTTAGTTGAGGGCCATAAGAATGAATGGGAAATATAAAGCGCCAGTGATGTCAGCAGCAACAAACGAGACCCGGCAACACGAGGAGTTCCGGCGCAGGACTCCTTTACTCATGAGCCCTGTTCACAAGGCTCTTGTCACATGCCCACGGCTCACGAGTAAGCGCTCTGGTCCTTTTGATTTAATGCCAAATCCCGCTTTTCCATTTCCTAAAAAGGAACTATACCCACTTTCACATTGTTTCTTATCCAGCTTCCAAAAGCACACCCTTCTCACTTGCACATAGTTCCTTTTAGCAAAATACGTCCAATTGACACTAAAAACTAGGTGTAATAGGCATTTCTTTGACTTGGTTGTAAGGATTTTTGAATAATTATGAAAGCGGCATTTACAGATGTTGATACTGAAGATTTTGGAATTGACTAAGATCAGAGCATGAATATTTAATACAATACTGATCAATTTAAAAAAAAAAAAAAAAAACTGCCGGAAAGACAGAGAAAAGCCCTGTTACAAGATCAAAATAAAAAACCATACTTGGGTTTAATGATTATTGAACCAATAGTTTTGACAAAGGGACTAATTATAAATGTAACTGATTCACCTATTAAATTAGTCGGACTCATCAATGTCATTATCTTTAGTACCCTTCCTTCAGTTGTCACAAGTACTTTATTTCTATGGCAGTTAAAGTGGCCATCTTTGGAATTCCACAGAACTGTTAAAGGTTCTTATTTTGCACTATCTTTTCTTAACTTGATATGAATAAGAAAGGGCATAGTAGTTAATAAATTAAAAACTACAAAGAAAAAAAAGAAAAAAAAAGAAAAAAAAGATTGAAGGAAAGGATATAAAAAACACGATTTTGCCTTGGGGGTTTTTCTAAGAACATTGTCTATTTATAGATTTTTGACAGTAAAAAAAAAGATATTGCAGATAACAGGCTTAGAATATTTTAACCGTTAAATGGTAAACACAAGCAGCTCAAATCCATCCGACAAGTTAACCTCGATGAGCATAATCCAACGCTATGAATGTAACAACCCCAACACACACACACACTAAAAACATTAAATCCAACAAACCCGCCAGCACATAAAACACAGCCATCACAACAAATACGACAGACCTAATAACACAGCTGGCACAACAAACACACCAAGCACACCAAATACATTTTGCGCATTACGCACAACTAACAGATCAAACATAACTTACACACCCAACGCAACAAACACAAAATACAAACTTAAAAAGAAAACCAAATACGATCATCACACAACTAGGATACTGACACAACTAGCACACTGAATCATTTATCTCTATCCATCTAACTTATGTTATGGAATGCTTTTAAGTTCTTGGTGACTGACATTGAAAATTTTATCATGACTTGGTTTTAGATTAGCCAGCTGAGTTCTCTAGTACTATGACTTGAATAATGTTTGCGACAACTTCAAGATCATTCATAATGGAATTGAAGAGTAAATTTTCAAGGAAAAGAATATCAGTAAGTGGTTTGGCCAAGTACCTGCTTGACTTGTCTGAATCCATATTCAATTTATGTTCCATTTTTGCTTACTGAGACTCAGAAGTGAAATTGACAGTAGCGCAAACATTTTCACCTGGAGCCCTCGCTTCTGCTCTAAATTGAAAATACACATAGAACGTAAATGAAAACTGACAGTGCACAAAATGGAATACACTTGAACTTTTCCTTGTGTTAGTGGTTTCGAAGAAAGACTGAGATGTTACTTACTTTCTCTCATACCTCTTTTTAACTCATCCTCATTTTTGTTTGATCGAAAGGGTCCAGTATTTACAGTCTTAATCACATGTCTGAAAAGAGCCGTGAAATCATAATTTCTGCATGCCCTCAGTAAATATTATTACAAAAAGTTTCATCATGAACATTTAGAATAAGACAAATAAAACACTGACTATTACGGGGGTGTGAGGACAACCAATCTACAGTGGTAGAAAAACAAGGGAGGAACTTACATCCTGTTGATCAACAATGAGGGACGCAACATTATTGACAGGGTAGCTGCCCATTGATGAAGTACGAGGACTTGGCGATCGCTCACCCTGCCAGCAGCAATAGCAACAAAACACAACCCTTTTATCCCACAATACACAAAAATTGGATTCTACATGATTTGATTGCTTACTTTAGTTAAAAATATGCACTTTAGCTAGGGAATGTATCATTTATCGACTGCTGAATGACACTATCTGGTGTACCTGGTGAAGGTATCTAATCAATATTAGATCACGTTAAATATGATAAAGATTAACGAAAAAAGGACGTTGAAAATTGGGATTTTTTCATAGAAGGATGCTTTGGACTATGTCCTTCAAAAGCTGAAATAGTACTTTCAATGGTACATCTTCAAGGTTAGTTTAAATTGTTGATTTTAGAGGAAATGGTAGAATTTCTTGATCCAAAAAAATACTCTCGTTTTTGTAAAATTAAATTAAACTTTTGAATCAGAAGTTTTAATTACTGTTAAAACACTCTTTGCTGAAGGTTTCTGTTAATAGATGAAAAAAATGAAAATGAGAGTTGTAGATTTTAGAGCCAATTTAAAACCAGACAAGATCTCACCCAAATGATAAATTTTACAGGTTTAAAAATTTAGTAGTTTCCAAGGTGAGGAGGTGGAACTAAACTTCAAAGTCACGTTTTCACTTATGAATTGTATTTTTACAAGGGACACTTTTAACAGAAGAGATCACTGACAAAGTCCTATCACAAGTCTTCTGATTGCACATAGAAATTAGGAAAATTTTAGACTGAATGTGCGCGGTTGTATCCTTGCAGAAATTGTATAAGTCTATTTTGCAACCTTGGAATGCAGTTATGTTTGTCTCCTTAGAACATGACAAATTCTTCACCTCTTGAAAAGCACATACATAGGCATAAAGTAAGCATCAGAGACAAAACATCAAAAAAATTCGGTTCATACGTGAACAAATCTTCAGGTAAGTAACATCGCATAAAAGTTACATAACACTCGATTATAAAATGTAAACCTGACAGCAAAATTTTTTGGTATTAAAAGTATTATTTGTAGACTAATAGAGAAGAAAATCAGAACGGTTCATTAAACGTTCTTAATATCTACAAACAGAAAATAATGACACATGTTATCGATTTTTTGACAAGAGAAAGCGATGTACTTTCATTAGACAAATGTACATGAAAAATAAGCATCAAACATTACCTCTTTAAAAAATGAGAGCCTAGGGTAAAATGGAAGGAAAGTCCTGACACGACCAAAAATAGCACAAAGAACAATTGACACGGAATTATAGATCAAATATGAAATATAGGAAACAAAAAAAATTACTTCTGAGGATTTACAGATCCAAGTCGTCCATTAAGGTCCTCAGTGTGCCCAGAAATCATCTCTTAGAAAATCTAGTACCGCCCTAGGGTGTACCTTATTTTTGAGTTTTGCGAAAATCAAGTTGGTCAACCCCTAAAAAGTTTCTATGTAGTCTCTAAATTGACCCCCTAAAAGGAAAAAAATTTAAAAAAATTTTAACCCGTGCCTCAAAGGGCCTAAAGGGCCTAAACCCAAAATTCAACAATTTTGGAAAGCGACATATCAATTCTGAAGGAAAATTGCAAGTTACGGCCCTTTGGTCGGAAATTTCGTCCGTTTTGGCGTATCTTGAAGCGTAAGGTCACAAACGGCCCAATAACGACGTGAGGCTATGGACCCGCGGGGCGCGCCGCGGCCGGCCGGCCGCTGAGCGCGCGCGCAGGGCAGGGTTGCGCATCGCCGCATTACACCGGCGTAGAGGAACGAACGGTGGGGTGGGAGGGGGATATCCGGTGGAAAAGCATCCACATTTTCAATAGATAATGAAAATGCATTATACTTTTTCAATATAGATGAGGAAATATATGAGCCATACAAGGAAGTGATGAAAAGAGTGACAAATACATAAGTAGTTTGTACGATTAGGAGCGTAAGTGGGGAAAATTTCCCGTAACTACAGAACAGCCCTGAAAATCTCCGGGAAATAAAAACTGCTATTGTCAACATACTTGTT